AATAGTTAAAGCACAGTAATGTAACATTTCCATTTAAAAAAACTTTATGAAAATGATCACAGAGGATGAAGGAATTTGGCTATCTAAAACATTCCATCCTTTGGTTCACACTCGTGTGTCTAAAAACTCTGCTCCCTTTTTCTAAAAGTATTGACATTTGGCCTCTTACACACTTTGAATCATTATTCCTTCTTTTAAAACTGTAATCTCTTGGGGTGCGTGGGTGGCTCAGTTGGTTAAACATTGGACTTTTGATTTACATTCAGGTCATGATCTCAGGGTCATGAGATCAAACCCTGCATCAAGCCTTGTGTGGAGCCCTGCATCAGCTCCGCATAGCACTGGGCATGGAGCCCGCTTAAGATTCTCCCTCTCTCATATGTGCTATGGTGAGCGCTGTGAATTGTACAAGACTGTTGAATCACAGATCTGTACCTCTGAAACAAATAATGCAATATATGTTAAGGAAAAAAAAAAAGAAGAAGATAGCAGGAGGGGAAGAATGAAAGGGGGGAAATCGGAGGGGGGAGACTAACCATGAAATACGATGGACCCTGAAAAACAAACTGAGGTTTCTAGAGGGGAGGGGGGTGGAAGCATGGGTTAGCCTGGTGATGAGTATTAAAGAGGGCACGTTCTGCATGGAGCACTGCGTGTTATGCACAAACAATGAATCATGGAACACTACATCAAAAACTAATGATGTAATGTATGGTGATTAACATAACAATAAAAATTTTTTTAAAAAAGATTCTCCCTCTCTCTTTCTTTCCTTCTGCTCCCACTCTGTGTGCTCTCGCTATCTCTCTCCCTCTCAAAAAAAGCCAAAAACCAAAAAAAACCAACAACAACAAAAACTAATCTCCTGGGTTGAGCGGGGGAACTTTAACTTTCTGAAACTAGCCACTTTGGTTTATCTTCTTTCTTATAACCTATGACTTCCATCATGCTAAGCCAAAAAAATCTGTTTTCTGTTCCCCTTATATCAGTAGGAAATTACTGATCTTCAAATAAGCAGAAAACCCATCTTACAAATAAGATGTTATTTAGTATTTAGCAAAGAAGGAAATGGGAATGGTTGTTGATTCAACCAGCTAGTAATGTTTGTCCTTTGCCTCTATGCGGCAGGCACACTTCTAAGCACTTTATTTATATTCATTAGTTCATTTGATGTTCATGAAAACTTAGAAGGTAAATATTATTATCACTATCACTTTATGTATGAGGAAACTGAGGCACAGGCAAGTTAATAAAAGCCTGGTGTATTAATTTTCTAGGGCTGTCATAACAAAGCACCACAACTGGATGGCTTAACAGAAATATAGTGTCTCACAGTTCTGGAGGCTAAAAGTCTGAGATCAAGGTGTCTGTAGGATTGGTTCCTTCTGAGGGCTGTGAGGAAGAATCTGATCCATGCCCCTCTCCTGCCTTCTGGTGGCTTGCTGGCAATCTTTCCTGTTTCTTGGCTTGTATACACAGTACCCCAGTCTCTGCATTCATCCTCACATGATTTTGTTGTTGTTCATGTTTAAGTATTGTACTTGTCTTGGCTTTATGAGCTATGAATGCTGATGTGGTTGGTATAATCAGAAACATTCTAATAAACAATGTGGGAAAGTACATGAATAAAATTAACCTGTGTGAAAAGTAGGGTAAGAAAGAGAAAAGATTATAAACGGTGTATGGTCCCAGGCTCTTAGAAGTGCTTTGAACATAGATAAAGGGATATTTTAAATAACATTACAGTCTCATTTTGACAGCATACAATTAATTGTATGATTTATGTTTACTATTTCATGTTTCAATTGTATGGTTTAGAAAAGTTCATGTCCTTTTGAACCACAGCATTCATTATTCTGCCTTCTCCCATAGCATACTTGCAATAAACTACGGAAGAACATAAAGGATAGATGGAAAGGACTCACTTAGGGGAAAAAAAAAATTTAAATGTGATGACCATTTGGTGAAATTACTGAAATGAAAATAATAGGTTTCCATTTCCAGAGTAATAAAATCAATTTTCTTGACTACCCATTTGTCCCATGGTAGATGTTAGAAATAATAAAAGGTTGTCAGTCCTTAGAAATAAGAAATGATAATTCCCTTCTAACAAGTAGACTCTCCACACTTTCTTTACATTATCTGACAGTCTTGACTGCATCAAGGATCTCTAAAATAATAATTATCTATAAAACAATGAACAAGCTACTAGGTTAAGTAAATGCATAACTTAACCTTTAGCAAAAGAAAGAATATATCAGAACAAAGTTGACTATTAGACTTTTTCCCAATATTATTAAATCGACCTGACAACTAAATTCACTTTAAAAACCATTACAACTAGAATTACCCTAGAAACCTAACTTAGGAGATTTGAAGAAAAAGGCATCTTGTAATTTTTTATTTTGTTGATGTATATCCAGTAAGTGGGAATTTTTTTTAATCGCACAGCACATAACAAAGGGGCAAGGAGCGTTAGATGGAATGGAATGTTCAAAATTTTATATGTTAATATCCCTCTTATGTTATTCAAGTAATCAAGATAAACCAGTTTTAGATTGGTACATAGGGAAACGGAGTCAGGAGACAAAGGTGAGAGGCAGATTTTGTGATGTCACAGAATCTCTTTTCCCTAGGATGAGTTTTAATTTCTTGCAGAAGATGCCTGGCATGCCTGCTCTCATCAAATATATCAGAATCACAGTGGAAAAACACAGTTTAGACTCAAAATAGATGGGACATCTGTACCAGATATATCCTTTACAGTGGCTTGAAATAGAAGACACATGCTGACCTTAAGAGACAGCTTTGCAAGCCATGAGACAATTCTATGGTAAATTAGCTTTCAGTCATTGTAGCATGCAACTAGAGGAGCTCAGAAAGAACACTAGCACAAGGCTTTAGGTAAATCTATAGGAACAGAATGCATATAGGTGGTTGCCTAGGGCTGGGGTGAGAATGGGGATTAACTGTTAAAGGGAGGATGGATCTTGTTGGAGAGACAGAAATGTTCTAAAACTGCATCATGATGATGGCTGAACAACTCAATAAAATTACTAAAAATCATTAAATTGTACACTTAAAATGAGTGAATTTTATGGCATGCAGATTATACCGCAAAAGAGTTTTGTGGGGTTTTTTTGTTGTTGTTGTTGTTTTTAAGGAAGGTTTTAAGATAAAACTATGGCACCTCTGGGCCTACATCAAATTTCTACACAGCTGTGGTTCCAGGAAGCTTCTGGAATAAACTCCGAGAGGTGATAACAAGAATATTTTTCTCCTCCAGTATTCAGGAAACAAGCAGGAGAATAATTAATATCAAACTCAAGTCACTAAAATACCATCGATAGCTCAGATCCCTAAAATCTCTTTTCCTTCCCTACACTTCTTGACAGTTTTGATAAGAATATCCAAACAATAAACAAAAGTTATAATTTCTCTATAAAAGTTCTCATTTGGGTACTAAACATTATGATGCTAGCAACCCAAACTTGTTTTCCCATGCAGGTTCCAAAAGGAAACTGATTTGTGTTATCAAGCCAGGTCCAACATTCCTAATGCAGATAGGAGGCAGTGCACACTGACAGCAGTCCCTAATACAGAAGGACCAGGTCAAGAGCTAGCAATCATGGTAGGACTGCTGGGGGAGCCTGTTCCACATATGCTCACCATGTCTAACCTAGGCTTGAGTTATGAGATTTTTGGAAAATTTGCCTTGATTTCCAATCAGCCAAAGAAAAAGCATATTTGTGTTTTTCTTTTCTTTCAGCAGAGAGCTTCATCACTATATGCCTCTTATAGGCTGAACTGTGCCCCCTTATGTTATAGACTAAATGTTTGTGTCCTGCCAAAATTCATATGTTGAAGCCCTAATTCCCAATATGTCTATATCTGCAGATGGGACCTCTAAGGAAGTAATTAAGGTTAAATGAGGCCATAAGAGATGATCCCTAATGTGATAGGATTAGTGTCCTTATAAGAGACGCAGAGAGTACTCTCTCTCTTCTCCCTCCACCCCTGCCCCCTCAATGTAAGGACGGAGTGAAAAGGTGGCCATCTACAAGCCAGGAGGAGAGCTCTCACTACAAACCTACCCATGTGGCACCTGGATCTTGGGCTCCCCAGCCTCTGGAACTATGAGAAATAAATGTCTGTTGACATAGATGTCAACCAATCTATGGTATTTTTACAATAGCTCTGGAAAACTAATACAGTACCCTCCTCAATTTTCCTGGGCTCCTTTTTCTATCTCAGGTAAGAGGGACAGGTTTGAAACAAGGAGATATAAGATAAAATCCAAGATCAAACACTTTGAATTTTCCTCTCCGAGCACAGTCTCTAGACACTGTTTTTATGAGAATACCTCATTGTCTCTAAATCCTCCCTTCACCTTCTGCCAGCAATCCTCTTCTGTGACTGTCTTAGTCAGTTTGGGCTGCTATAACAAAATACTAAGTGGCTTATAAAAAACAGAAATTTATGTCTTACAGTTCTGAAGACTGGAAGTTTGAGATCAGAGTATACCAGTATGGTCAGGTTCTAATGAAAGCCCTCTCCCAGGTTGCAGACAGCTGACTTCTCATTATATACTTAGATGATGGGAAAAGAACAAGGGAGTTCTTGGAATCCTTTTTTATATAAGGGTACTAACTTCATTCATGAGGGCTCCATCCTCGTGACCTAATTACCTCCCAAAAGCTCCGCCTCCTAATACCAACACACTGGGGTTAGGATTTCAATATATGACTTTTGTGGGTACACAAGCACTCAATCCATTGCAGCATCCTATTATGATTTACCTCTTTACCTCCTCCTCAGCTTGTTATTCTTCTATGCTTTTCTGAATCTACTTGCCTCCCTACCCAGCTCAGTCTCAGGGTCTGTTATTTCAGCCATACATACACTATAATCACAGTTTTCCCCCTACTCTTCCTTGACATTCTCTCTACCCTCTATTTCAGCTGTTCCCAAACTTCAATTGCCCTGGATGCCCCAGTTACCAGGGTGTTGCTTAAAATTGCAGATTGCCAGTTCCAATCCAGATCTCCTGATCCACTGAAAGAAACTCACTGGGGGTAAGGTCCTAGAATTTGGATTTTTCTAAAGATTCTCATGTTATTCTGATGTCAAATATGATTTGAGAGTTATTAGCAATGACACTCCCTAACCAGAATGACCCTAATATTCATTTTCCCTCCTTCTTAGATGTGAAGCATTTCAACAGAGCATTACAATGCCACACTGATTGGATCTTCTATGCTTCAAACCACTTGATGAAATTTGGATCTTCTGACTCCTCAAAATATTTTCAGTATAGTTTATTGACTTCCCTTTAAGTTTTCCCAGTCACTTAAATACTCCCTCTTCTGTGTCTTATTCTTACACTACTTCCCTCGCTCACAGCAGGAAGCATTCTTGCCATGTTACTAAGAAAATATAGGCCAGCAGCTTTCAACTGTGGCTGCATATTCGACTCATCTTGGGAGTGTTTAAAAATACTGGGGTCTGGGTTCCACCGCTGAGAGGCTATACTTTAATTGGCCTAACATTGAATCTACATATCAGTATTTTCTTAAAACTCCCCAAGTGATTCTAATGTGCAGCCACGGATCTAGGCCATTTGACACCAATTACCTCAACTTCCAACAGTTCCTCCTGCCACAGTCTCTACACACACACACACACACACACACACACACACACACACAGCCCTCAACATTTTTTCTAACCTAACTTATACTTTCTCCTTTTCACAGAAGACATGCCTATACATTTTCAAGACTCCTTCAGAACTCGCTTCATACTTTTCCCCCACTCTCTTTTCTATCTTCAGTTTCACTCTTATATATATTTAAGCCATTTTCCCACTGGTTTCAACATATAAATCTCTATCTAATAGAAGTTCTGCTACCACCAACGCAACAAAGACAACAACATTACATTTTCTTCATCCATTCAAAGTCAAACACCTCTAATAAGGTCGTTTATGCCCATTTCTCCACTCTTACTCTGAGTCTTCTAACCTCCAACTTCAGTCACTTTCCACCTCACTCCAACCTAAATTAATCCAAACTAATCCAACAGATTAACTTTCCAAGTATACATCTGATCATGTCACCCCTTTTTTAAAAAATTCCCAATGAATACCTACTACTTTCATTCAAGAGCAGACATTTACTAGGCATTATCAAAGTAAAAAAAAAAAAAAAAAATTTACTAGGCAGAGTGCAGGGCACTAGAGATAAAGATATACAAAGTAAATAAGATTGTATCCTCGGGGGGCAGAGCAAGATGGCAGAGGAGTAGGAGACCTAGATTTCGTCTGCTTTCAGGAATTCAGCTGAATAGGGATCAAACAATTCTGGACACCTATGAACTCAACAGGAGATCGAAGAGAAGAGTAGCAACAACTCTCTGAACAGAGAAGCGACCACTTACTGGAAGGTGAGTGAATCCAAGGCGATATTCGGGAGGATAGATGGCGGGGGAGGGGCCTCCGCCGGCCGCTTCTGGCAAGTGATAGAGCCCCGGAGCACAAAATCGGACCTTTTAGAAGTTGGCTCTGCTGAGGGACGTTGCTGCAGTGGCTAAGGAGGGGGTGGAATCCTCCCGGGACAGTGTGGTCTCAGGACCCTTGGGATCACAGAAAGACTGGGGATGCCTGAGTGCGGCAGAGCTCCCAGGTATCAGGGCGGGGAAGCTGGCTGCAGAGATGGAGCCGAGGTGCGGGCTCTCAGCTTGGGGTTGCCATAAACTGTGATCCGCGGCCCAGTCGGACCACTGCTCCTCCAGCAGGGACCCAACAAGAGGTAGAGCTGGGGAGACTCCCCTTCCTCCCCGGGGAGGAGTGGCGGGGGAATGCACCGCAGGGATCTGCTGGGTTTGGAGACTCCACACGGGGTCGGGTGCCAGAGATAGCAACGCTCGGTCACAGGCCAGGTGAGCACGGAGTGAGGCCGGAGACCAGGGAGACGGGAGTGACTGCTTTTCTCTGGGGGCACACTGAGGAGCGGGGCCCCAAGTTCTCAGATCCTCCAGGTGGAGATTGGGAGGCCACCATTTTCACCCTGGTCCTCCAAAGCTGTATCAAGAGCTTGCAGGGAACAAAAGCTCCTGAGATCAAACCCGACCAGCTTGCTTAGCCCGGACCGACAAGGGCGGGGCAATTCAGCTTCCAGCAAAGACATTTGGAAACCACAGCAACAGACCCCTCCCCCAGAAGATCAGCAAGAACAGCCAGCAAGCCAAGACCAAGTTTACCAATCAAGGAGAACAGGAGAACTCCAGCGCTAGGGGCATACTGCACATAGAATTCATGGCTTTTTTTTACCATGATTCATTAGTTCATCAAAGTTAATTTTTGTTAACTTTTTTTTATTTTTATTTTTCCCTTTTTCAACCAACATCTTATCAATCCCTTTTTAAAAAAAAACATTTTTTATTTTTCAATTTTAGAGTCATATTTTATCCCTTCATAGTAGTTACCCTTATTTTTTGCATATATATATAAGTTGTTCTCTTTTTAAAATTTTGAAATACAGTTTCTTCTAACAGATCAAAATATACCCTAAATCACTAGTGTATGGCTTTATTCTAGTCTCCTGCCTGATCACATTCTCTCCCTTTTTTCTTTTTTTTTTTCTTAAATCTTCTATTTTCTTTTTCAAAACAACTTCTTATCTTATCAATTCCTTTCATAAAATCTTTCATAATTTTCATCTTTACAGTCATCTTCCATCCCTTCATTGTATCAACCCTTATTTTGTACATAAATGTCTTTATTCCTTTAAAATTTTAGGAGGCACTTTTTTCTAACAGACCAAAATACGCCCAAAATCTAGTGTGTGGCACTGATCTATGCACTAGCCTGATCATATTTGATCATATTCTGCTTTTTTGTGTATTGTTCTGTTTTTGTTTTTATCTTTTTTTCTTTTTTTTTTCTTTCTTTTTTCTTTCTTTCCCTTTCTTTTCCCCTGGTTTCAGGTCTTTTCTGATTTATATACAGTATATTTGCTGGGGACGTGGTAAACCTGTTAGCATTTTGTTCTCTCATTCATCTATTCTCCTCTGGACAAAATGACAAGACGAAAATAATCACCTCAGCAAAAAGAACAAGACGTAGTACCGTCAGCCAGGGACCTACTCAATACAGACATTAGGACGATGTGGGACCTAGAGTTCAGAATCATGACTTTAAAGATACTAGCTGGGCTTGAAAAAAGCGTGGAAGTTATTAGAGAAACCTCTCTGGAGAAATAAAAGACCTAAAACCTGACCAAGTCGAAATCAAAAAGGCTATTGATGAGGTGTAATCAAAAATGGGGGCACTAACTGTTAGGATAAATGAGGCAGAAGAGAGAATCAGCGATATAGAAGACCAAATGATGGAAAATAAAGAGGCTGAGAAAAAGAGAGAGGAACAACTACAGGATCACGAGGGCAGAATTCGAGATATAAGTGATACAATAAGATGAAACAACTTAGAATAATTGGGATCCCAGAAGAAGAAGAAGGAGAGAGAGGGGCAGAAGGTATATTGGAGCAAATAATAGCAGAGAACTTCCCTATTGTGAGGAAGGAAACAGGCATCAAAATCCAGGAGGCACAGAGAACCCCTCTCAAAATCAATAAAAATAGGTCAACACCCCGACATCTAATAGTAAAACTTATGAGTCTCAGCGACAAAGAGAAAATCCTGAAAGCAGCTCGGGAGAAGAGAAATGTAACCTACAATGGTAAAAATATTAGATTGGCAACAGACTTATCCACAGAGACCTGGCAGGCCAGAAAGGACTGGCAAGATATCTTCAGAGCACTAAATACCAAAATATGCAGCCAAGAATACTATATCCATCTAGGCTGTCATTGAAAATAGGAGAGATAAAAACCTTCCAGGACAAACAAAAACTAAAGGAATTTGCAAACACGAAACCAGCCCTCCAAGAAATATTGAAAGGGGTCCTCTAAGCAAAGACAGAGCCTAAAATCAGCATAGATCAGAAAGGAACACAGACAACATAAAGTAACAGTCACCTTACAGGCAATACAATGGCACTAAATTCATACCTTTCAATAGTTACCCTGAATGTAAATGGGCTAAATGCCCCAATCAAAAGACACAGGCTATCAGATTGGATTAAAAAACAAGACCCATCAATATGCTGTCTGCAAGAGACTCATTTTAGACCCAAAGACACCCCCACATTGAAAGTGAGGGGTTGAAAAACCATTTACCATGCTGATGGACACCAAAAGAAAGCTGGGGTGGCAATCCTTATATCAGAAAAACTAGATTTTAAAACAAAGACAGTAATAAGAGATGAGGAAGGACACTATATCCTACTTAAAGGGCCTATCCAACAAGAAGATCTAACAAATGTAAATATCTATGCCCCGAACAAGGGAGCAGCCAATTATATAAGGCAATTAATAACAAAAGCAAAGAAACACATTGACAACAATACAATAATAGTGGGGGACTTTAACACCCTCCTGACTGAAATGGACAGATCATCTAACCAAAAGATCAACAAGGAAATAAAGACTTTAAATGACACACTGGACCAAATGGACTTCACAGATATTTTCAGAACATTCCATCCCAAAGCAACGGAATACACATTCTTCTCTAGTGCCCATGGAACATTCTCCAGACTAGATCACATCCTAGGTCACAAATCAGGTCTCAACCGGTACCAAAAGATTGGGATCATTCTCTGCATATTTTCAGACCACAATGCTTTGAAAATAGAGCTCAATCACAAGAGGAAAGTCGGAAAAAACTCAAATACATGGAGGCTAAAGAGCATCCTACTAAAGAATGAATGGGTCAACCAGGAAATTAAAAAAGAATTAAAAAAATTCATGGAAACCAATGAAAATGAAAACACAACTGTTCAAAATCTTTGGGATACAGCAAAGGCAGTCCTGAGAGGAAACTATATAGCAATACAAGCCTTTCTCAAGAAACAAGAAAGGTCTCAAATACACAACCTAACCCTACACCTAAAGGAGCTGGAGAAAGAACAGCAAATGAGCCTAAACTCAGGACGAGAAG